CCCCAAAACCCCAAAACCCCAAAACCCCAAAACCCCAAAACCCCAAAACCCCTACGATTAAGCTCAGCATTGAATAATTAGACCAACAGCAATAATATTGGTCATATTATAACCTCACTAGTATATTATGAACCAAGGCAGAGGGTCCCAATTGTAGGGCCAACTCTACATTTGGAGGAGCTAGCATTCGTAACTAGAGTAAATTAGATGCTTCCTTCTGGGCAGATTTTGTTTCATCAAACTTCAAACTTCTCTTAAAGTGATGATAGTAGGGATCCAGTTGGTCAGCCTCTTCATCATTTTCTTCATTTTTATCTTCCAAGATGGGTTCGTTGTCAAAAGAAGAGGTTGTTTTCATAAAGCTCTTTCTCCTAGTTGGGCCTAGCTCTTTGGCATCGTGAACCTTATCAAAGAACTTCCATCTATTGTGTCTGGATTTAAACTTTGCATAAGTCTCTGATTTGATTAGGCTAGTATTTTCAGCACAGTCATTTTCTTCCTCTCCTTCTAGGATAGGATCTTTGATGATCTCATAATATTTCTGACTGGCGGAGACAGTCTTGCTATCTGGTTGCTCAACCTTATCAAAGAGGGTATAGACGTATCTTCTTTTGAAAGAGAAGTTACTAGAAGAATTTTCACTAGGATTGTCTTCCTTAGATTCCTCACTACTATCGTGTGAGTCTTCGTTAATGGGAATGTCTCCGAGCATGTTAATGCTTCTAGAATTTCTTTCCTTAATCTGTTTCATTCTGATTGGTCTTTCAAAATGGTCTGCATAGATTTTATTAAAAATCCTGGAAATTTTTGAAAAGGATTTACTTTTCTCTACTTCTAAGCCAGCATCACTCATTGAGTCCTCTTCCTCGGTCTCTGAGACATCGTAGTGCCACTGAGGGTTTACATCCTCGCTCTTACGGCCTCCATCTAGGGATCTGTGTCTTTTGCCTTTACGTCCGAATTCGTTGAGATCTTTCATGATGTTGATTCTTCTGTGACGGCTGGAGAAGAGATCAAATTCCTCTTCCAATTTCTCCTCTCACTCAATTAGTTCAGGAAGAGTCTCCCCAACTCTGCTGTATTGTCTCATGATCTTCATTCTGTTTCCTCTCTTATTGGCCATGAAGGGGAACTCAGCATCGATTAAGCGGGATTTGTAGCGAGGGTCTAACGGCTGGAGCTTGCATGACCTAAACTCCCAAGTAATGTCACTGGGGAAGGTAGTAGTTGAGGTATTCCCAATCCTCCCAGAATATTCTGATGAAAGGGAGCTATTTGAAGCGCATCTGTTGATTGGCACAGACATCCTGGTCTCACTCCTTCTTCTGCTTAACCTACGAGAAACTTCAGAAAGGCATTTGCTATGGGTCTCAAATTGCTTTCGAAAATCTATTAAACTTGGTTCAGAAGCTTTTCCATTAGCTACCCCCACAAAAGAAGATACATGTGTTTTACGTTTTGAGGTAGATGAGCTAATTTTATAAGAATGCTTAGGAAGTGGCTTAAATGGGCTTGAGGTAACCTTCTTTCTAAAGAATCTATTATTAGAAAATTGTAAAGAATCAGCAGCCGACTTGCAGCTATTTGAGCGTTGATCTCTAATTTTATCAAAACTCTCTCTAAAATCATTGAATAAGTTTCTATGCTCTTTGCTTTGAAGCTTTTCCTCTTCAGTAAAGTCAGAATTCTGCTTGCTTCTGCCTTCGCTCTGTAAATTCTTGCGGCTTCTTTCTCTTTTGACACTATCAATAATCTTGGTAGAATTATCTTTGCTCTTAATATCAGAAATCTCTCCTGTTTCGTACGTGGCTTCCTTCCTCTTGTACCTCTGGCCAACTCGACCTGCTCTCAGTGGAAGACTCTCTGTGTTATCTCCTTTGCTACCTTCTTTAGAAGAGTTGTCCTCATCGCTACTCTCTTCATGGATGATGTCCATTTCTTCGTCGACCTCATTCTGGCGTGAGAACTTTGTTTCCATTGCTGATTATATTTTATTAAAGATTTCAGTAATTTTATTAACCAGGGGTTTTGGGGTTTTGGGGTTTTGGGGTTTTGGGGTTTTGGGGTTTTGGGGTTTTGGG